AGTTGCTTAGGCTGGCTTCAAACTTAAGATTTTCCTGTCTCAGTTCCCCTAGTCACTGGGATTACAGGGATGCAGCACAGGCCCAGCTCAAAATCTTAATACTTTTATCAGTTTGAGTCATGTCCTCTAACACTGAAACCTAACGTCTATTCATCAGTGCTGTGTTCCTAGACACACTGAACTTCTATATCCATTCCTTATGTTTTATGGAGTTTTTCCTTTTACATTTAGAAACTCACTGTAAGGTCTCATAAATATTTACTAAATATATAATTTCAATTCTTATTCGGCTTATATTTATTTGAATTTTTAAAACTAACTTGAATTTGATGAATCATTATTATTCTTTTCTAAAATTTCAACCCATCATTTGATAAAAATGTACTTAATCCATTCTCCCGTTGATTGAATAGTACTTTTACTAAATGTTAAAGTGACCCCTTTAAAATGCAAATGGGATCATGTAAAAGACCTTCTTTTGAGAACTTTTTTCTTATACTTACAGAGAGCCTACAAAGTCCTGTGTGATCTCTATCTTGCTTTTCTTTGCCAACCTCACCTTCATTACTTCCCTATGTTTCAGTATGCTCTGGATATATCAACCTCTGTAATCTACAACACACCACTGACTGCATACCTTCTAAGCATGCCTACATTTTTCTTTTTCTTTCTTTTTTTTTTTTTCAGTGCTAGAGATCAAACCTATGGCCTAGTTTATGCTAGGCAAGGGCTCTGCACTATACTCCTAGCCTTAATATCCACCTTTTAATCATGATTTTCTCTCTGCCTAGAATGCTTGTTCTTACTCTCCTAGCTTCTCTGATAAAATCTACTTTCTCAGAGAGGCCTTCTTTGACCACAGGTCATAGCCATTTTTAAGTCCTCATTTTAATAGATTCATATGCATCGTCGGTACAATGGAGTTTGTCACTTAAAATGTCTTCAGGGAGCAGGTGTAGTTCAGTGGTAAAGCATGTGCTCAGCATGTGTGAGTCCCTGGGCTCAGTTCTCAGCATTAAAAAAGAAAAAATATTCAGACTGATTGTGATATGGCATTAAACCAAAACATTGTGTAAATCCGGAACACTAAAACAGAATAGCAAAAGAATATAAATTCATTATGAGTGAAACAAATGTTTCTCCCTAGAAGAATGAACGTATTCCAAAGAAGCTACTATTTGTTTTTGGTAGGAGGAATGTGTTTAATATTATTTTTAATAACTGTGGCTATTCATCTTTCTTTTAAAATTGTTCTTTTTAGATAGTAGAGTGTATTTTGACATATTCTATATACATCTAATATAACTTGTTCTAACTAGGATCCCTTTCTTGGGGTTGTACATGACATGCAGTTACACTGGTCATATATTCATATATGAACATAGGAAAGTTATGTCTGATTCATTCCTGTCTTTTCTATTCCCATCCCCCCCTTAACTTCATTCCCCTTTGTCTAATCCAATGAACTTCTGTTCTTCCCTCCCCATCCCCCTTATTGTGTGTTAGCATCCACATATCAGAACATTCAGCCTTTGGTGTTTTGGGACTGGCTTATTTCACTTAGCTTGATAGTCTCCAGTTCCATTCACTTGCAGGCAAAGGCCATAATTTCATTCTTCTTTATGGCTGAGTAATATTCCATTGTGTATAAATACCACATTTTCTTTAACCATTCATCTGTTTAAGGCACCTAGGTTGGAGGAATTGCTATTTTAAGGGACCCAAAAAAGGAAAATTCCCACAAATAGATGAAACTGTTTTATGATGTTATTGTGAAGGGGTTGATTTTGATGCTAAGGATTAAACCCAGGGCCTTGCCCATGCTATTCTATCACAAAGAATAATTGATCACACATAAAGCACGAAAATGCCAGCATCAAAACTTACAAATGAGTGGCAGGGTCTTGGAAGAAATTCAAGAGACAAAAGAGTAGCACTTTTCAGAAATGCTACATCATCAACACCCTTGGCAACAGAGAGCATGATAGTATATAGAAAAACAACAGGGCTGGAGTTGTGGCTCAAGTGGTAGAGTGCTTCCCTAGCGTGGGTGAGGCACTGGGTTCGATCCTCAGCACCACATAAAAATAAAATAAAGACATTGTATCCACCTAAAAAACTAAAAACTAAATATTTAAAAAAGAAAAACAACAGTATAAGCAACTGGGTAGGAAGTTCTGAATGTAAATAAATAGTATGAATGCCTTAACCTATTTATGATGTTAGAGATCAATCCCAGACCCTCACACATGCTAGGCAAGCATTCTACCATTGAGCACACCCTTTGCCCTCATGTATCTTTTAAATGTATGTACAACAGTGCTATAAGACAATAATGTTTTTTAAAGTATAAACATTCTTTTAATAATTATAAAATATAAATTTTAAATGATAAAGCACTAGATCATAGTTTGGTGGTGTTTTATATCTTGTGCTACATAAAATAATGGTACATCTAATAAACTTCAGTGAATAGATATGTGTGATATAAATAGATACATGCCAGAGGGACAGAATAGAGTAGGGATGCAATATGTACATATATATATCTAATATGTATATATACTACATATATTACATATATATGAATGAAAGATGCCCAACTTTGGTAGGGGGGGCATCACTCAGTGGTTAGACTACTCATCTAGCATTAGCAAGGCCCTGGGTTCAATCCCTAGCAACACAGAAAAATAAAATAAAATAAAATAAAAACAAGATCACTAATACTTAAAAGTTAGGAAGATAAAGGGAAATGGGCATGCCCCATACACACAGTATTGACTGGACTACAAATTAAAATCTTTTTGTGCCCTCAATATTGGGAATTGAGTCTGGTACCTTGTGCATAGTATACAAGTGCCCCAGCACTAACTACATCCTAAGCCCTACAACACAATCTTTTTTTGGGGGGTGGGGTGTACTGAGGATTGAACTCAGAGGCACTCGACCACTGAACCAAATCCCCAGCCCTATTTTGTATTTTATTTAGAGACAGGATCTCACTGAGTTGCTTAGTGCCTCCCTTTTGCTGAGGCTGGCTTTGAACTCGCAATTCTCCTATCTCAGTCTCCCAAGCTGCTGCACCAGGCTCCTATAATGATCTTTTAAAGGTCAGTTTAGTGACCCATCAGTTTAGCTGGGTGTGGTAATGCACACCTGACTAGAAGTCTAGCTACTCAGGAGACTGAGGCAGGTGGATAGCAAATTGGAGGCCAGATTGGGCAATTTAGCAAAACCCTGACTCAAAATAAAATTTTAAAAAGGTCTTGCCTATATATGGAATCCAATGAAACACAGACTTTTCAGATCAGATTTGGTTACTTTGAGTATTTGAAAGTGCTGTCTTCATATTTTATTTCATAAAGTTCTTTTATTTTTTCTTTTCCTTTTTCTTTATTTGTTTTTATTTATTTATTTATTTATTTATTTTGAATTCAGGAGTGCTTGCTTCACTACTGAGCCATATACTCAGCCCTTTTTATGTTTTGTTTTGAGACAGGATCTTGCTAAGTTGCCTCCCTAAATTGCTGAGGCTGACTTTGAACTTGTGATCCTCCTGCCTCAGCCTCCCTACTCACTGGGATTATAGGCATAAACCATGGTGTGCAGCTATTGTTATAACAATTTCTGATAATATTTTTTGGGGGGAGGCAGTTCAGATGATACAACCAGGGCCTTGGACACTCTGGGCAAATGCTCTACCACTGATCTACATCTATGTCCCAAATCAATTCCTTTTAGAGCTGAATAATATTCTATTATCTAGGTGTACCACGGTTATATATTTGCCTATCAGTGGGCATCCAGTTTGCCTTCAAGTTTTGGAAGTTTTAAAAACAGTTGTTATAAAAATAAAGAAAGAAAGAAAGAAAGAACGGGCTGGGAATATAGCTCAGTGGTAGAGTGCTTGCCTAGCATGCAGACCCTAGGTTCCATCTCCAATATTGTCCCCCCCCCAAAAAAAATTATGTTCTTCCATTCAGCAATACTACTTCAAGGTGTTAATCTCATTAAAGGTATTTACATGCTCAAGGTGTTTGTTTGGGATGAGTCTGGTACCTTGTGCGTATTATACCAGTGCTCCAGCACTAACTACATCCTAAGCCCTACAACACAATCTTTTTTTGGGGGGTGGGGTGTACTGAGGATTGAACTCAGAGACACTCTACCACTGAACCAAATCCCCAGCCCTATTTTGTATTTTATTTAGAGACAGGATCTTTAAATAGGTTACATATATGGAATATTATGTATCTTTTATGTATGGAATGTATTATGAATGGAATACATAATACTAATATAGATACTAATATAGGGGCTGTGGTGTGGTTCAGTGGCAGAGCGCTCACCTAGCACGTGCAAAGTCCTGAGTTCGATCCTCAGTACCACATAGAAATAAATAAAGATGTTGTGTCCAATGATAACTAAAAAATAAATATTAAAAAAAGGGATACTAATATAGATCATATGTACATGACATGAATTAAGTACTTTGCAGAAGTGTTTACGGTATAAACGTATTTTTTTTAAAAAAATTATAGAAAAAAACCAGACTGTGTAAACAACTGATTGACTATATGAGGTTGGTAGTGAGAAGTGGTAGATATGAAGCCTAGGAACTCTGGATAATGAAGGTAACTGAGCATCTGCTTATTGCTTGACATTTTGAGAATAGCATCACCACTGTAGTAGCAAAATTAAAGTGCACTCTTTGGGGGTTGGGGGACTTAGGTTGATCCGGATCCAGACCTGGCCCTCGGGACGCACGGACTAGTCTCGTGCCCAAGTTTAGCAACCAGGCAAAACGCACAGAGAAAGGCTAGACTGCTCAGCCAACCTCCAAAAGGACGCTCGAAAGGGGAGCAGCATTCCTCTCCGGCTCCTGCGCATATGTTGTCCAACAGAGGTTAGGGAGGGTGGGGTTTGAGCGTATCCGAGATACAATTGGTCCTAGGGTCTCCCCGCCCAGAAGTTGGGCGGGGCAGCGTGGTGACGTCGCAACGCGGGGCGCAGGAGCAGAGAGCGCGCGCTTGCGGACGCGGCGGCATTAAACGGTTGCAGGCGCGGCGCATTGGTCGTTGTCTTCTCTAGTCTCAGACGCCGCCGAGTTTGCCCGCTCTCTCTGGGCCTCGGGAAGCCTAAACTCCGACTAGACCTTACTGATTTTCACCTAGCTGTAGCTGCGTCGTAGACTTCGCCACCATGTTCGAGGCGCGTCTGGTCCAGGGGTCCATCTTGAAGAAGGTGCTCGAAGCGCTCAAGGACCTCATCAACGAGGCCTGCTGGGACATCAGCTCTGGTGGTGTAAACCTTCAGAGTATGGACTCGTCCCATGTCTCGTTGGTGCAGCTCACCCTGCGCTCCGAGGGCTTCGACACCTACCGCTGTGACCGCAACCTGGCCATGGGTGTGAACCTCACCAGGTGAGTTTCAGGGCCGCGGGGAATCGGGCCCTGGCTCTCCTGCAGCCCCTGCTCTTGGCGGGAGCGCCTCCAAATCGGGCCCTCATTGGATGGCGTTGGCCATCTGCGACTTCTCATTGGCCTGTGATGCCGGAGGCGGGACCCACTGGAGCGCGCGGTTCAGAAAAGCCCGCGCTGGCAGCCGAGCGAGCCGGCTTTTTTCCGCGCCAAAGTCACAAAGCCATGGTGGTGGCGGGAAAATGACAATCTTTGCCCCATTGCCTGAAAAAAAGACTGTTTCAAGTTCTCTGCTCACTAAATTCCCGCAACCTTGAATGGGACATTTAAGGTCCTGATTGACTTTAAACGCCTATAACGTGCCCTACTGAAAATGTGTCACTCTGTATAGGGGCAATAGGTTGTTTCTACTCTTTATTATTAAAGTCGCAGTGACTATTTTCAGCTCCAGAACTTGTGGGAAAATTTATCCAGAGTAGTGCCTATCTAGTACACATGTATGTTTTCATTTAGAGAAGATTTATGAGAAATATTGACTTATAATACAAGCAGTATTTTAATAGGTCTATTAGATTTTTCCCCCCTTGCTGTGTTGAGGATCAAACACAGGGCTTTGCCGTGTGCTAGGCAAGCATTCTTACCACTGAGTTACACCCCCAACGCTAATCCCCACTCCTCCCTTCTGGGGCTTGAACTCCGGTGCACTGCCATTGAGCTACATCTCCAGCCCTATTATATTTTTGACACAGGATCTCATTAAGTTGCCGAGGATGGCCTAGAATTTGTGATCCTCCTGTTTTGGCCTCCTAAGTTGCTGGAATTGCAGGCATGTACCACCACACCTGGCCCTAGATCATTTTTAATGATCATTGTGGTCTGACAATTTACCCACTGAAAGGATTTATAATTCAGAAAATGCTCTGATTTATACTCAGATGAAATTGCTGGTGTTAGGATGTTTGAGGCACTGGGGTCAAACTCAGCACCTAATGCATGTTAGACAAGTCTCCACTACAAAGCAGTATATCTAGACAAGAAATCTGATTCTTGAGCAGGTGTTATTGATTTTAAATCCTGTGTCTTTTGTCTTGTATTGTAGCATGTCCAAAATACTAAAATGTGCTGGCAATGAAGACATTATTACATTAAGGGCTGAAGATAATGCGGATACATTGGCGCTAGTATTTGAAGCACCGAGTAAGTTGTACCTTTTTACTGAATTATACAAAATTACTGTCAGGTATGTCAGTAATTCTCAAAGCTGTGAATATTTTGAGAATGTCTATAGTGGTTATAAAGTATAACATCCTAGTTATGAACACTTTTTTCAGTAACATTTGCTTTCTTTTGTTAGATCAAGAGAAAGTTTCAGATTATGAAATGAAGTTAATGGACTTAGATGTTGAACAACTTGGAATTCCAGTGAGTATCAGTTTCTGATTATGGAGTACCATATAGTCGTGATAATTAATGTAAAATATGAATATAATAATTTAAAGCCTACTTCCTAACAGAACTTTTTATAGAAGCATATCAGCTGGTTCATGGTCCAAACCAGATTTTAGTATTAACCTTATTAATATCAAAGGAGAGAAGAGATGTTGGGATATTTAAAATGTCTAATATACTATTTTCTCCTTTCTTTTAGAATGCAACTAAATTCTGTGTCATAAAATAGTGGTTTTTTTTTTTTTTTTTACTTGCATACCTCCTGCCTCAACCTAGCTGGGATTACAGGCATGTGCCACTGCATCCTGATTTGTAATGTTCTCTTGATTTAGGCCTGGAAGATGATCATGAGGGGGTTCTTGTTCATTGGATAGTAGAATATATTAGGAAATTACAATGAGCTGGGCACAGCAGCCTCCTATAGATTGTCTCAAAAATTTTTGAGCATTAATAAAAAGGCTAGGGATATGACCCATTGGCAGAACACACCTGAGTTCAGTTCCTAGCACTGGGGGCAGGGATGGGAATTATACAGTGAGTAATATTTCAAAGTAATCAGAAAGTCTTTAGCTTTTCTTAAAATATCACATCTTAAAGTGAGGATGCCAGGTCTTTACATTTACAGCATTAATGTTATCTTTTTTTTTTGGCAGTGCCTGGGGATCAAACCCAGAACCTCAAATGTCTAGGCAAGTAGTGCTCTACCATTGAGCCAGGTCTCAGCCCTAACTTTTGAGATTTTTTTGTTTTGCTCATAGGAACAAGAGTACAGTTGTGTAGTAAAGATGCCTTCTGGTGAATTTGCACGTATATGCCGAGACCTCAGTCATATTGGAGATGCTGTTGTCATATCCTGTGCAAAAGATGGAGTGAAATTTTCTGCAAGTGGAGAACTTGGAAATGGAAACATTAAGTTGTCTCAAACAAGTAATGTTGATAAAGAAGAGGAAGCTGTAAGTAATAAAATTAAATTTCTATTTAAGTAAATAGAAATTTTTGAAGAAATTTTTACTGTTTACCACTAGTTTATTTGCCAAAATTAAAGGAAAAAAACTAAATAGTTCGTGAAAACTGAAAGATACTGTTGTTGGCAAGTGCCATTTAATTTAAAATTACATCTGTGAAAAGGGAGTGCAAATTCAGCACTTTTACAAACCACAAAATAACGGGGTGTGGATAAAAACCATACATTCTCTAAAGTTAGGATTGATACAATCTTTAGCTTTCTGGAGATGCTTACTCTGCATTTCTCAAATTAGGCTGGGATAGCAACTCAACAGAAGCATGATTGGGATGAAAGTCCAGCTGTTACTAGCTCCCCAGTAGTACTATTAGTTGTATGTATTGTAGGTTCAGTTGTTAGCTCATTTTGAAGGTAGAAAAGCAAAAAGCGCAAGATTAAGAGACCATTTAGACTAAGTGACCTGGTGTCAGAATCAAACTTAAATGAGAGTATTTTTCTCATTAAGGCCAGAACATGCACTTCATAAAACTTGGAAAGAACTGCGTTAAATGCTGAATATTGATTAGCATTGAATACTTAAGCTTTTTTTTTTTCCCCCAGTTTGAGAGAGTGCCTAGAGAAGCCTCATTTAACCAAAACATAAAGAACTCTGGGGATGTGGCTCAAGCGGTAGCGCACTCGCCTGGCATGCGTGCAGCCCGGGTTCGATCCTTGGCACCACATACAAATAAAGATGTTGTGTCCGCCGAAAATTTAAAAAAAAAAAAAAAAGAACTCTAGGTCTGAGGGCTTAGTCCAGTGGTACAGCAATTTCCTGATATGCACCAAGTTCTGGGATCAATTCCTAGCACCACAAAAAGGAAAAAAAAAATGTGTGTTTACACACACACACACAACATTTTTAAATGTGTAAATGTGTGTTTACACACACACACCCCCCAACATTTTTAAAAGCCTTACATATCATATACAAGAAAATAATTATAAGGAATTTTTAAGCATTCACCTTCCCCTGGTTATTTCAGAACAGTTTGTTTAAATTGGAATTTTAAGTATTTTTTTAGTTGTACATGGACACACTATATTTCTTTATTTTTATGTGATGCTGAGGATCAAACCCAGGGCCTCACACATGCAAGGCAGGTGCTCTACCACTGAGCCCCAGGCCCAAATCAGGATTTTAATAAGGTTCATACATTGAAATTTGTTGACATTGCCCTTAACTTTCATTTTACTTATTGGTTAACTCTTGAGCTTTTTTTCCCTCTCCATTTACAATCTTTTAGTTAAAACTAGATTATTTGTTTTAGAGTTTTCTTAAGTGTGAATTTTGCCAGTTGTATCCCTGTGTGTCAGTTAATGTGTATGTCCACCCTGTATTTTCTGTAAATCAGTAGCTACAGGTCTCAAGCTTGATGACATTCAAAGTGTTCTCTTGTTTGCTTTGAGGTTGGGAGAGCCAGAATACTTTAGATGGTGGTATGTATCTTCAGTAGGAGACACAAGGCGAATGGATGTCTTTTTTGGAATGTTAGCTATCATCTAGAGTTGTTGTCATTAGGGTTTGCAAAGCTGAAATATAATAGTTTATTTCATTCCTCCTATTTCTTTATTAGCTGATTTGTTTATTAGGAGTATTTTCATTAAGAGAAGTTTTCCCATTATTACATTTTAGTTGATGGTTTATATAGGAAAGATAAGCCAAATACTTTTTGGGGGGGAGTCCTTAAATTCACTTCAGAGTACTCTTTAAAGTTACCAATAGAGGTGTTTATTATGGCCTACAACTTTCTTGGTGTTTTTCAACATGACAAATCTTGTTTTCTCCTGTAGGTTACTATAGAGATGAATGAGCCAGTTCAGCTAACTTTTGCACTGAGGTACCTGAACTTCTTTACGAAAGCCACTCCACTCTCTCCTACAGTAACACTCAGTATGTCTGCAGATGTACCCCTTGGTAAGATGATAATAAATTTGAACTTTGTTTTGTAGGTAGTATATTTGATACTGCCCTTCAGTAATTCACTATTTTCTTGTCTTTCAGTTGTAGAGTATAAAATTGCTGACATGGGACATTTAAAGTATTATTTGGCTCCCAAGATCGAGGATGAAGAAGGATCTTAGGCATTCTTAAAATCTGAGGAAATAAAACTAAGCTCTTTGAGAACTGCTTCTAAAATGCCATCATGTACTGAAAGTCTTTTCTGTCACCAAATTTGTAACTGAGTACATATGTAGATAATGTTTTCTGTAAATAACCTATTTTTCCCTTTCCATCCTCTACAGCTTAAGAATAAAATCCAAAGTCAACTTCTTTCTGCCTTACGTAGAAATACTTCTGGTGATTTTTATAACAAAAAGTTCTTGACTTTAAATGCAGTTTTAAGAATTGTTTTTCGATTTAAATAAAGTTATCCGAATTTCAGATGTCACAGGAAAGTGTCTTCATTTGAACCATGATGGGCTGCAAATGTCTTACCATTTTATGTAAATGTGGCTTTTTTTTTTTTTTTTTTTTTTTTGGAGTCTACAGCATCCTGGTATAATTACATTAAGAAGATGGCAATAAATATTTCTTTTATGTTTAGTAGATTCAATGACTAGTTTCTATCGTACTTGCACTGAGTTCATTTTCTGGATATTAATAACTCATCATATTTAGTTGGTATTCACTACCTACTCTGCCAGTACGGGGAAGGAAATAGGCTGCAAAGGTGTCTGGAACTTTGGCGGGGGTGGGGGGGCGTGGAAATATTTAACTAGACTGGTCACAGTTCCAGGACTGTAAAATTTGTCTGAATTCATCTAATTGTACTTCACCATGTGTAAGTTGTACGTTAGTAGGCCTTATTTCAAAAAGCTTCACATGGTGCAAAAGTCCCTTGTGGGCCGGCCATTTACCAGGGCGAAGCGCTACTGGCCTGGGGAGGGAAAGGGCACAAGAATAGATCTGCTTAGAGTGCAGTGGTAGTCTGAGTCCCTTGAGCACTGAATTGAGATCTGGGTACACTGAAGTCCTGGGCTTACCCCTCCTGGGGGACTCCACTGGCTCCGGGGGTCAAGAAAGGAATCACTGCAGCCTTATCCGGGCCCCTACTATGACCCAGGTGGGCGGGGCCCTATGTACTCTAGCCTGCCACTCTGACGGTGGCCGCGGGCTGACCAGGTCGCAGCAGCTTCCTACACCACCACGATACGCCCGGACAAGCCCCAGCGCTTGTTGCAAGACGACTTCTCCCGCCAAGGGCTATCCTGGGCGCGCCCAGGAAGCGGGTGAGAAGTCGCTCTTGGTGACGCAACTTCCGGCGCGCCTTCATACGCACGCCACTTCCGGCGGCGAGCTGGTATTAGCTAGGTCGGCGGTTAGGTTGGCTGTGCCATGAGGCCTGGGACGCCTCGGCTGGTACCCGTGGGCGAGTTCCTCTCTAGCTCCAGTCTTAACGCGGTGCTCGGGTAAGACATGCGTGGGTTGGGGCGGGGCGGGGCGGGGCGGGAGCTTCGCACCCCCTCGCTACAAGCCAGTGTTCCCGCCTGAAGCAAACTGGAGTTCTCTGCCGGAGTCCTAGATGTGAAGCGTTCGCTTGCTTCGCACGGTTGGCCTCTTTCCAGAAACTAGTTTTGTTTGCGTTTGGTCTAAATGTGCGTCGGCTTTTCCTTGCGTGGCGACGTCCGGAGACGGGCAGGAAAATAAGGATATAAAGGAGTGTAATGTCAGGCACTGGGCTTTACTGATGCTCTTATTAACACTTCAGAGGCTGAGGGAATTTGGAGGTTGTGGTGGAGATGGTTAAAAGCCTGTTAGAAACTTTGAGACTTTGAAAATATTCTGTCAACTTTTTTCTTTTTATCTTTACCATGAATAAGTGAATGAAAATAAGCTAGAATAGATAGTAAAATGACCAAGATGAGCACCATTCAACCACACCTGGAGACTAACTAGTAGACCTATTAATGAGCAGCACCTTCAAAGCCTGTTTCAAATGTAAAAGACCTTGAGGCTCATCTGTGGGAACACCTCCAGCTAATTCCTTTGTCCCAGAGGTGGAGAATGGAAGATGAGGGTGAGCACAGATGAAGTTAGTAGGAAGAAAGAAGGATGGCTCATGGGAAGGACAATGGAAGTGAACTGGATGGTCTATTTTACATAGATTTTGTTCCACGCTCTGCTCAAAACAATATATAAACTCCTAAGCTGGCACACCAAAATGTTTTTCTGTTATCAGTCCCCCTCCGGCTTGGCGGGAGTTCTATCTCTTGTTGCTTAAATAGATCCTACTCTGTTTACCCTTCCCTTCCGTGATTGTGGATTTTAGTCTTCAAAATTTGGGAGACAAGAACCCAGAAGAAATTGGTGAAGTGGGCAATTGAGTCTCATCTCAAAACTCTGGTTTCATAAGCATTTGTCTCTCCTCTCCTTCTCACACCTTGTGTGTTTTTGTTATATGCAAGTGTGTGAATAATTAATGGAGGATAATTTTTTTTTAAAGAAAGGATTATACAAATCGGGTATAGTCAAATGCCCTAAAAACTAACACACATTGGTAGTTTGAACTTTAAGTTTTATAGAATTAACTTTAATTAATCGCTACACTAATAACCTAATATTTAATGCACCTTGTTCTAACTCCCCTGATTACTCCAACCCCCCTTACTTGGGATTGAATTCAGGGCCTAGTATGTGATAGGTGGGCATGCTAACACTGAGGTACATCCCCATCCCTCTGACCCTTTTAGAAAAGCATATGGGTTAGCATTACTTTTATTTTTTTCAATACTTGATTATTGGACTAGTGTTAATAAAAATGACAGGATTAGCACCAGTTCTTTCATAATGCTGTTACTTTAAGTCGACTGTAATAATTAGTCAAGTTTTGGTCAAATATGTATACAGCATTTAGAGATGAGCCTGACACCTAACCAAGGCTAAGTAAATGGTAACTGCCACATGATAAATTATAATCATGATTTACTAAATGTCACATGGAGAAAGGCCAGTCTGTTCTGTTGCCCTTGTTGAAGTACGTAAGTTTCTCAGATGCTTTTGAATTTAAATTTACTTGTTCACATACCTTGGTGACTTTATGGAGGAAAAGTGTACAGATTTCAGATTTTTAAAATTTAAATGTCATTGCTTTTAAGTCTTATCCACTTTCAAACAGACAATATAGGAATGATTTCATTACTGCCGTCTTCAAATATTTTGGACAATAAGCCAGACTTTTAATTCAGGTTTGTTTGTTTAATTCAGTATTTTTAGGTAGCCACACAGCCCAGAAAATGGAATCACAACTTATCAGTGTTTGGAATGGAACAGAGAGAGGTATATTAAAGGCACTGGTGTAGTACTAATAACCAAGAGGTTATTTAAATTTATAAGAATGCCTTAAAAGGGTGATATCATCCAACAAGGGGAAATAAGCAAAATGCTGATGTGAGTGTATTCCATTTCCCACCCTCTTTTCCTTCCTTGGTAAGTAAGAAAATCACTTGAGTGTATGTTTCTAAGCTGGGGTAGGGGGCAAGAAGTACTTCTTTAGCATCAAGTGCACCTGAATTTAAGTCTCTCTTCCAGCTACTCTCTGGTGACTTTGGAAGAATTAGGGAACACTGGTGGTAAGGTAAACTGGAATTTGGTTCTTGGTGAATGTCCTGGTTCTCATTCTATGAGGACAAACCAAATTAAATACGTACTGAGGTTTTTTGCACTCTGTCAAAGGAATATCAGGTTTTAAGAGCAATGAAGCCTAAATCATCAGTTGCAATATGATATGGCAGCCCTGAATTCCAGTAGATAGAATCTGAAGTTGGCTCTAATGTATTATCATCACCTACAGACGGTAACACTTTTTTTCCTTGTTGTTTTAGACTGTAGCTGTGTCCGTGTGTTATGATGCCGTCTCGTACTAATCTGGCTACTGGAATCCCCAGTAGTAAAGTAAAATACTCAAGGCTCTCCAGCACAGATGATGGCTACATTGACCTTCAGGTAAATGCAGAAGGGAAGTGACAAGGTTGGTGACTATTCTGATGAGTTAGCAGGAAGACCTTCATGGTGGAAGTTTTGCTAATTATCCCTGAAGATTGGAATGAACAGTGAGAAGTAAACTCATTTCTGCAACTCTTAGCCCTAGCTTGCTGAAGCAAACCTTGGCAGGGCAGTTTCAAACCAATTCCAACATTATCTATTTCTTTAAAAAAAAAAAAAAGTGTAATTGTAATGCCAGAGTCCTATAGTTGCCTATAGTTGTACACTTTATTTAGTTTGTCCAAAAATAATCAGATTTTAAGTGGATTTGTGTTAAGGATTGTTTATTTACTCTTTAGTCAAAGTCAGTTCATCTTTTAAGGGAGAAACTAACTGCTGAAGCCAGCAGATTGTGGGAATCTTCATTCTTTCCTGATGTCATGAGATCCAATTTATTAAAGGTATTCTTTGATAAACAGTAAGTAAAACAGAATATTGATAAGTTTATATTCTACCTTGACCATTATCTACAAAATAGTAGCATATCATCTCTTTTTGCCCACTTCCACTTAAAGTAGAATATTCTAGATAAAACTAGAAATAACAAGAACCCATCCTTTTAAATATAAATAAATCAATTATTGTTTGTACTCTCTGGACCCATACTTAAAGGACAGATAAAAATAGATCTGGGAAGCTTCCAGCTAGTTAGCTCAGATTCAACTGTGAGCCAAACATTAGAAAGTTTGTGTGTGAATCTTAAGCTTGAATTGAACTGTTTGAGTGGTAATGCCTTACCAAAAAAATGGAATTTTCTGTTTCTAAAAACCTTCCAGGGTGTACAGACTTAACTTTGGATGCCAAAAATCTCTTAACTTCTTTACTTTTCCTTAGCATGTTATAAGTTAGTACCTGTGCAAGGCATTTAATAAATGTATGTCTCATGAACAAATAACCATAAAGTAGTTCCTGTTTTTATTTCTTGAAAAAAAAATTAAGGTACAGTGAATGGTGTGTGGAATTAGTTAAAACTAGAAAATATGACATTTCATTGGAATTTCTTTGAGTAACCTGTCCTTTCCCTTTCTCTCCCAGAGTTGCACTGGATGGTAGGACATATTTCAACACACTTGAAGTATCCACTTTGGTTCTTAATTATCCTCCCTGCTTTAAAGTGTTTTTGCCCTGGTAGCCCTGGTATTTTCATAATGATGTTCTTTGTCTTTTTTGTTTTTGTTTTCTCTTCCAGTTTAAGAAAAGCCCTCCTAAGATCCCTTATAAGGCCATTGCACTTGCCACTGTGCTGTTTTTGATTGGCGCCTTTCTCATTATCATAGGCTCCCTCCTGCTGTCAGGCTACATTAGCAAAGGGGTAAGCTGATGGGCATGTGGGAATGTGCCATGAGATCTTTAAGACAAGAGCCACAGCTGTAGTTTCCAGCAGAAAGAAGAAAAAGATTTTCTTTTAGTCCCAATGATGAGTTGCCATGCTAATACTGAGCCACCAGGTAGGGCAGTATTGCCCTGATTTGGGTGCCAGTGAGTTTAACAAAACTTCTCAAATGGAAACCTGAGGGACATGTTAAAAAAATATTAAAAAATACATATGTGTGTGTGGTGTGTGTGTGTGTGTGTGTGTATGTATATAACATATGTATATAAAATAATAAAACATGTTTTCCTCTGAGCAACAAAGTTTTCCTATATTTCCTGTGAGGTGGGTAGGCAAACTTGGTCACTGAAATATTGAACAATTTGCCCATTATCATAGTTTGGAACTATGACAAATTATGCATAGCTGAACCTAGCTTCCAAGATTCATTTTTGATAAGGGGCTCTAGCTAGAGCAGCATTCTGTCATGGTAGCTTTGCAGCAGTACAGATTTACTGGTGAGTGGGGAGAAGCAGTTAATGTATAGGTCTGGTACCACTGAACCATACATCAGTTTAGTTCCTTTTTATGTTGGGTTTGGTTGGAGTTCCTATTAAGTTTCAGTATACCTTAGAAACCTAAAGTGATATTTAGTAGCTCTTTCTCGCAGGCTGTCCTCAATACATAGTTGTCCTGAACTGATTCTATTATTCACATCCATTCTGTTAACACACACAGAGAAAAGCAGGGGTTTATTGTGGTATTCTGTACAATTATAAAAAGTAAGGCACAGCATGTCCAATAGCTATGCAAAGAACAGCAGAGTAAAAGTATGATATGTCCATTTTGGTGGAGTGTTAACACATTTTAAATATATGAAGAGTTATAATAATAACAAATACTTATTATAAAGAGACAATAGGACAGAGAATATGATGTGTCCACAATTAAGAACTTTTAAAAAGGAGAAGGAGGGGCTGGGGCTCAGTGGTAGCACACTTGCCTGGCATGTGTGAAGCACTGGGTTCAATTCTCAGCACAAATAAAGGTCTATCAACAACTACAAAAATATTTTTAAAAAGAAGAAAGAAATGAGCCATATATCTGGAATAGAATGGATAGTTTTTCTTTTATAATTTTTGGTACTTTGCAGTTTTCTTTCAGTTGATTGAATGACTGAGAAGGGGTCTTGATGTAGCCTAGGTTGGCCTTGAGTTACCTCAGCCTTCTGAGCAGCTAGGATTACAAGTATGCCCTGCCTTTCCTTCACTTTATAAACAGGAAGAAAGTAAATGTAAATCTTTTCCCTTGTGTCCTATTCAAAGAAAATGTTCAGGAAAGTATACAATGCCTGTGTCTTTCACTTAAAATTTATTAACTTGTATAATTCTGATGTTTTCCTTCTTCTGCCACCAGGGGGCAGACCGGGCCGTTCCTGTCCTGATTATTGGCATTCTGGTGTTCCTGCCAGGATTTTACCATCTGCGCATCGCCTACTATGCGTCTAAAGGCTACCGGGGTTACTCCTATGATGACATTCCAGACTTTGATGACTAACACTCACTTCAGCCCTGAGACAAATCACAGTGGAACTAAACTCAGCTTTAAGATATTGAACAGAAACTATGGCTAAGGGCTGAGGAATTATGCAGTTTGCAGATGTTTGACAAAACAATGGCCAGAGTTTATGGTTCCATCCTAAAAATGTTCATTGAGCTTAATTAGCTAATTAGGAAACGCTGTTTTTCATCTGGCCGTGGCAAAACTCAACAAGTTTTTCCACATGTATCATGGAAGAATAGCAATGCTAATTGGGAAAACAGGAGATTATCCTGTAGTGGAAAGTGTTACCATTCCCACCCTCTTTATATTGAGCATTTCTTTTAAATAGTCTTCTTTGTCAATTTGTTATTGTAGCAAATGGAAGAGTGTGGTATGTCTAATTTCTTAGTTACTAAGTAATTTATTTTTAAAATATCAAAAGATCTTATCCCCTACACTTAACTCTACTTTCACATTCTGGTGGAAGACCTCCCTAAAACCACATGTTGGTGTGGCTCCATCTGTAATATTTTTTGCTTTGTTTCTTAGTGACAGGAACCAGGAATTTTTTGAGCCACAGAGTAAGTTTTCAAAGTATAAGCACTGTCTCTGATAACCAATCCTTGACCAGCTCTGATCTTGTTTCCCAATAGGATGGCCTGCATATAATTTGGGTCATTCTATCCTTTGTAGATCAAGATGTTCTATATATCATGCCTTTAAAGACTGAACTTTTGGCTGTTCCCTAATGAAAAAAAATGAAGATAAGTGGTTGCTATTTAGAGTGTATAACTCTATTGGTAGCACCTGGTACTATAGTGTCATTCTGCTGAAGATCTCAAGACTTGGCTTGGATCCCTAGAGGACCACATCCTTAGGTTGATTCTATTTCTTTGCTTGAAAAAGTGACTTATATTCAAAAGAAATTAAAATGTCAGAATCCAAATCCTGGACTAAACATGAGTTAACTTTAGACATAATTCAGAAAACATTTTAATGATTTTATAAAGTACCCAGGAATAACTGTTTTGGGGTAACTGGCATCATGAGTTAGACTACTTTCTAGTCATTCATTTACTCTGAGGTTAATAGATTTGAACAACTATAAGCTTGGATGTACCATCAACTGAAATTTTGAAGGCTGTTATAGGGCAATTTTGGGGGGAAAGATGAGTTTGGTTTTGGATATGTAAATGTAGATGTCTCCTTGACATCCAGGTGGTGCTGTGGAGACATTAGTTGCAGTACAGTGTGGAGTTCACAAGAGAGCATTTAAGCTAGAGATAGAAATGTAGGATTCAGTGTTTAGACATTATCTTCAGAACCTGGGGTTGGATGAGATCACAGGTGGAGTGAGTGTACAGAGAAGATGACTCGGGAATGAGGGTAGCCTCCAAGTTTGGGTGCATTTAGAAATGGGAAAGGAGCCTAGGGAATCTGGTATTCTAAAGTTGTTGGGCCTTGTCAGTGAAAATGTGAGATAATATTTATAAAACTTTATGTTGGGCAGTGCTTGCAAAGCTCACACATAGTAGTTTCAGCCAAATTAAATTATTTGGTCTTTTTTTTCTTGTAAGGGGGAAATCAAGATGGAACAGAAAGGTATAAAGTCAAGAGTAAACATTTGCTCTCCAAACTCACCTCCAAAGGTTGTCCAATTAAGTTCCTTATATAGTTTACAGAAATGTTCTAAGCATATAAACATGGATACCTTTTTATTTTTTTAATTTGAGCTTCAATTGTATGGCCCTATTTTTTTTTTTTTTTTTTCCCTATTCTGTTTTGTATAGGTTTCCATGATTTTTTTTGGAAAGATCAGTTTCCCCCAACCCAAGTGTTGGGGACCAAATCCAGGGCCTCACATGTGCTAGGCAGGCACACTATCACTGAGCCACATACCCACCCCTGGCCACATTATTGTAATTTTCCATTATATGCATGTAGTCTTGGGGCCCTCTGAAGGAATAACCTTTGCTGCTCTGTTTGAGCATTCCTGTTACCTGAGTATCTTATCACACATGTAACTTCTTTGCATTGACAGTAACTATACTGGTGCTTAATAGAGGAGGTCTAAGCCTCCATAATAATGGTGAACATTTCTTGAACCCTTTTCTAAGGGTTCTTCATTATCATTTTAATCCTTGAGAAAATCCTGAATTAGGTATGATTCTTTCTTAGGCCAAACCTGAATGAATGACTTTAGGGACTGGGCAAATAAAATCAAAGTAGAGGGATAGATTTTAAGAGTAATGGGGACCAAGGTCAAATGTCAAATGGATATCATAAAAGCAGCTCCTCCCATTTTAAGTCTGGTTAAACCAGATGTTCTAAATTTGTGACAACTATTACACTTCTTATTAGGCATGTCCAGGACTACTTTTTAAACCTTCATTCTGGCTGGTGTGGCACCTGAAATTCCAGTGACTGAGCCTGATCTTGAACTTGATCTTCCTCTTTCAAGCACCAACCCACTGGCCCTGTTGCTGGGATTACAGGTGTGGCCCACTGTGCAGGCTGTACTTTGTTCCATTGTGTAAGCAGGTGGACTGACTCTACTCAATTCAGACTTTACTAAATGGCCCTCTGCCAACTGTTCTGCAGGCCAGCTGCTCTGCAAACGGTGCTCCCAGGTGAGTGAAAGCCTCTTGGCTTTCTGCTCAAGCCAGCAGGCCCAGTTCATAGACTACACACACTAGTTGGCATAGGAAGTGTCTCATTAGTGTTACCAGGGAGCCTGATATTGGGAGAATCAACAGTGCTGACTTGCACCTTCCTGGGGATTGAACCTAGGACTTGCGCATATTGGGCAAGTGCTCCACCACAGAGCTATATCCCCAGCCCTTATGTTGGGTTTCTACTAAGGGTTATACAAAGTCAGTGTCCATTGGTTGGCTTGGCCTGTTGTCTAAATTCTTATCCTGATACTTTTTTCCTAGATTCAGTCCCAAAGGTATGTAGTTAAATCAGTTTAGTGCATGGGTTATTGGACTAATTCTTTGGAGCACAGTTTTTATATAAAGTGGAGGTGGGGGTGAAATGAAGCAGTTTGTACAGAGAATTTACACATAGTAAGCACTGGGTACATGGAGATGGAGGTCACTCCCTTGGTGTGGGATAAAGGATGTTGGCCCATCTGCTGTTCCTTGGGCCATCCTGAGGAACCTGCCATTCTGTTGGCAGACCTACCCCAGAACCAGGGACAGGAGCTAACCCAGCTCCCTTCACTGACAGAACTGCCTACTGGAGGTTGTGAAGATACCTCAGCCCCTGGCCTTTTGACAGCATGTTCCTGGGCCTGGGTCCCTCTGTGCATCAAGGCAGAGAAGGCCCTGTGGAGAAGAACTTGAAAATGAGGTGGTTCAGAGGAGCTTTCGACTTGTTCTCCTGGAGCTTATTCCCTGTTTTCACCATTCCTCCCTCAGTACTCCCACACTTGTCCCTTGCTGCTCAGGGGCTGGTCTCTGGATCAATGGCATAGATATCACTTGGGGACTTATTAGAAATGCAGTATCTTGGGCCTGCTGACTAAATTGGACCCTGTGTTGTGATGATGCCCTAAGATATTCACTGCCAGTATCAGAAGTGCTGGCCAGAGTACCCTGTGCCACCTACACCATTTTCTTTCTTTGAGACTGGACCTCCTCCAACAGTGCCAGTGGTTGTAGAACACTCAGAAGGTATAAGTCCTTCTAGATCCATCATTATTCTCTAGGTAGACAATAACACCCAGGGGCCTAAGGAAGCTTTGTAGAAAGGGCACGGAAACAATGCAGGAATATTTCGTAAACAAACTTTTGTGAGCACTGAGAAACCAAACAAGGCCTAAAGAGGCAGTAGGTCCATGGCAGGAGTGGAGCTTTGGTACCCCAAAGACCTACCGAAAAGAACAATGTGCAATATATGACCCAATCAGAGGCAGAACAGGTTTTTTCCTCTGGTTTCTGTGGAAGGCAGCCTGTTAGCTCTAGAGTTAACCCTAATCCTTGGTGTTCCTTTCTGTCTCCATTCTTTCATTATCAGTATCTTGAGAATAGCCAGCTAGCTAGAAAATGCTTCAATATGAAGGATGAAGTTTTTTGGCCAAGACTTTAATCCCTTGAGAGGGTTTTCTCTGGGATTAATAGTATCTTCAGAGTTTGCCCTGAGGCCCTGGGGTTGAAATCTCCCTACAGCTAAAACAATGGCAGCAGCCTTATTATGAACAGGCTGGGAGAGTTTGTGGCCTAGTGGACCATAGTGAGCATAGGAGCACCAGGCGTGGTAGTGCATTCCTGTGCTAATTTCAAAACCAAACTCAGCAACTTAGTGAGGCACTTAGGACTCAGTGAGATCCTGTCTAAATAAAAGAGGAAAAAAAGAGATAAGAGCAACCGGAAGGAACCTGGAGCAAGTCAGGCCATGTGTTTTCATATTTGAGATATTGATTTATTAGCACCTCGTGCTTAGCACCTCGCAGTTGCTGAGGCTGGCATTGAACTCATGAATCAAACCCAGGGCTTTATGCATGCTAAGCAAGTGCTCTACCATTGAGCCACACTCCCAGCCCTGTGATCTATGATTTTAAGACTAGCACAAAGGAGCTTGTTGAGAGCCAAGGTTTCCCATTCTTCGGGTTGTCAGATTTATTCCTGAGTTATTTTTTTTTTTTTTTTTTTTAAGAAATTGGATTGTTTTCTTGGTTTATATTATTATTTACCTACAGCTTTTCTGAATTTGTTCTTTTCCATATTTTACATTATAATTTGTATTATGAGTATGCATAATCATAATACTGGGATTTGTTGTTACATATGTGTACTTGTACATGATATAACAATATAATTTGATTAGTATCATTCTCAAGTATTTCCTTTTCCACTCCCCTTCTCCCTTTTTTCTCCTGATCTCCCTTTGATTTTCATGAGATCCACCCTACCTCTTTTTCCTTTTTCTGCTCTAGCTTCCAGATATGACAGAGAACATACAACCCTTGATTTTCTGAGTTTGGCTTATTTTGCTTAAGGTAATGCTCTGTTGCATCCATTTTCCTACAAATTACATAATTTCATATTTCTTTATTGCTGAATAAAACTCCACTGTGTATATGTACCATATTTTTAAATCCATTTATTCACTGATAAGACTCCTAGGCTGGTTATGTTGTTTGACTATTGTGAATTGTGCTGCTATAAACCTGGGTATGCATGTATCACTATAGTATGATGACTTTAATTTTTTAGGCTAAATACTGAGGAGTGGTGTGGTTGGGTCATATGATGGGTGACATTCCTAGTCTTTTGGGGAAACTGCATACTAATTTCCGTGGTGGCTGTGCTAATTTACAAATCCACCAACAGTGTACAAGTGTTCTTTTTTCTTCACGTTTACTCCAGTATTTATTATTTTTATCATTGTCATCTTACTCTCTTCCTCTTGCAATTCTTCTTCCTCCTCCTCTTTTTTCTCTTGTTCCTTTTTTTCATATTGGGATTGAATCCAGGGGTGCTTTACCACTGAACTGCATTTTTATATCTTTTTTGTACCAGGGATTGAATTCAGGAGTACTTGACCACTGAGCCACATCCCCAGCCCTGTTTTGTATTTTATTTAGAGACAGAGTCTCACTGAATTGCTTAGCACCTCGCAGTTGCTGAGGCTGGCATTGAACTCATGATTCTCCTGTCTCAGCCTCCCAAGCCGCTGGGATTACAGGCATAGGCTACCATGCCTGGCTGCATCCCTAGATCTTTTTATTTTTTATTTGAAGACAGGGTCTTGCTAAATTGCTGAAACTGGCCTTGAACTTGGGATCCTCCTGCTTGAGTCTCTGGGATTACAGGTGTATGCCAGTGTGCCTGGCATCTTTTTTTTTTCCTTGCCTGATTGCTCTGGCTAAGACCTGCAGGAATATGAGAAGGGGGACATCCTTGTTTTGATCTAGATCTTAGAGTAAAGGCTTTCAGCTAACCCCCATTGAGTATGATGTTAACTGTGACTTATTGTACATGACCTTTATTGTGTTGAGATTCATTTCTTCTGTAACTTAAGATTTTTTTCCTATGATATTGAATTTTGTCAAGTCCCTTTTTCTATCTTTTGAGATAATCATATAAGTTTTGTCCCTTTTCCTGTTAATGTGGTGTATCACATTTATTGCTTGCTTATGTCGAATGAGGAATGTCAGAGAATGCCAAATAGTTTTTCTATTTATTGAGAAATGAAACCACACTGAGACCAAAAGAATCATGGAATTATTTTGACACAATTTCAAAACTCCTGCTCATTCTGAACATTGACTCATGAAGATCATCTACTGGGTTGCTGTCCTGGGTATTTCCATCTTTCTACCTCTAATAAGAGGTAAAAAAGTAATCTCTTTCCAATAGTCTTATCAATTTCACAGTAAAAGAAGATAACTTGTCTCTGTGCAGAAATTAGGATTTTGCAATCTAGAAAAACAAATGAGGGAGGCACAAAGTCTATAAAGTCATATCAGATGTTAGCAGAGTGGACCTACATTTACATATCAAGCCCCAGGTCACTGAAACTTGGAACTGGAGTACTATGAGAACAAAATATCTCTTTATTAAAACAATTCAACTTAAACATTAACTAAAAAAAGTAGATCACAGAACTTTGAAAGTAGCTCTGCCTTGACACAATTAGATCCCTCACGTCTTAACTATTATCAGTCACAGCTTTAATCTAACCTTGGTTTTATCTCTAAACTTTGATTTAAAGTTGCGTATTAATTCACCTTGAATCCTTCCTTTAAGTTTATCCATGAAGTATTTTTTGAGTGCCTGTTATAGACAAATCACACTTTGTAGGCATCAAAAAGGAATTGTCCACTATGCCATCCTCCAGGAGTTTGCAGCATACTTCAGGAAAATGAGATCCATTTTTGAACTAGATGGACAAATATATTTTAAAAAATCTGTACCAAGGATCAAACCTAGGGCCTTGCTCATGCAAGGCAAGTGCCCTACTACTGAGTTATATCTCTAGCCCCCAATATTAGCTTTAACAAAAGATTAATTTTGAAAATGGATTCTCTGATAAGTGGATTGGAGAGGAAATGAGGTTCAGCAGGGTCTGAAAAGATCTGCAAAGGTCTTACTTGAACTAGACTAAATGGACTTAGGCTAGCCCAAAGCTGGTAATGGGCACTGTGATCTGAAGCCTATAGGCTAGGCTGGCATGGGAAGAGTTGGGGACTTGAGTTTGGCTAACTGACAGAGGACTAGGTTGTGACCTGCTAAGGAATGAGGAGCTATGGTAGTTTTCCTTTTAAATGCTTTGTTTTTCCCAAAATTATCAATGTTCATTTTTTTTAAAGTTCCATGAGGCTTATCCTGAAAATCAGTTATCACATTCAGTCCCTCTTCCCTCTCAGCTCCTCCAGCTAAATTTGTTAGTATTGACTTTGATCTCTCCACATGAAATATTTATATTGCAACTTCATGATTTTTCTGTTAGGCCTTATCAATTGACTTTATCTGGTGGAAGATGGAGATTTAGGTGTTCCGTGATCATCCTCCATTATAGATGCTTCCAGTCCCTCTGTTTTGTCCATATCATGTGTCATTGGGTTGAATTAATATCTATTCTGACATTTCTAAGAATGTATGCACCCTATTCAAACTGAGCCAGGCTGTATGTGATGACTTACTTTCCTCTTCTGGCACAAATTAATTTTCCATGGAGTTATAAGTCTTGTTAGTTCACATGATTTTTCTGTTAGAAGCCCAGACTGACTCCCATCTGTACACATCTCCTAGTATTCCATCCATTTCCTCTTTTTTTTTTAATTTTTTTTTTTTTAGTTTTACATGGACATGATATCTTCATTTTGTTTATTTTAATGTGGTGCTGAGGATCGAACCCAGTACCTCACATGTGCAAGGTAAGCGCTCTGCCACTGAGCTACAGCCCCAGCCCCAGCCCCCATTTCCTCTTAAAGAATTGTCCATGAGGAAACCTGCTGCCCTGTCCTTTACCTGAGGTGAGAATGTGCTTGCATTGCCTTCCAGCTTCTTGTGTGACTTCTGTGGAGATATCAGCCACTCTGAATTTTGGCTCTTCCTTTGTTATTTAGCTTGTATTGTGTCTTCGGTGTTCTAAAATTTCACAAACGAGTCTTATTGACCTGTTATTATCTGGCACCCATTGTACATCATGCTATTGTCCATTTCGGGCTGGAAACTCATGTCGTTTTCTTTTAAGGAATTTTTTGAAATTAATTTCTTTGATAATTTCATTCTTTCACATGTCTCTGTTTCCTGTTTTTGGAATTTTTTAAGAGATGTTGGTCATTTTATCTCCTGTTTTCTATATTTTGGTCTTTTTTCCCATATTTTTGTCGTTTGTGAGAGATTTTTCTGTTGTTCCTTCCAACTCTTCTAATGTCCAAGGACTCTCTTACATTTTATACCAATCAGTTTTTACTTTGTAACCTTAACATCTTTTATTATCTTAGTATGTTCTCTTATCAACATAAAATATTCACTTATCAGCACAGCAGTCAGAGTGATCCCTTAAAATATGTCATGTCATTCTTCTCTAAAAGTTTTGCGGTGACTCCACACTGAACTCAGAGGATAAGCCTACATCCCACAGTGGTAGACAGGGCCCACTGTGCTCTCTCCACCCTCACTTCTCTGGCATTATCTGCTGTGCTGCCTCCTCAACACTCTGTTCTAGCCATCCTCGTCTGTGATCCCTAACTTCTGACCTACTCCCATCCTAGGACTTCAGCTTTAGTTGTTCCTTCTCTCAAGAATTCTTCCCTCCTTTAAGATTTTGTTCAAATTGCTTATTCTCAGTTAAAGCCTGCCCTGACCTCTTTTATATTGCAACTTTCCCTCACATCCATCACATCCATCCCTAGCACCAGCACTGTCTTCCTTTTGCTCATCTCCTCCTTATCCATTAATAGTATGTCACTTTGTAACATGCTACTTAATTTACTTACTTCCTTTTCCATCTTTACTCCAGTTAGAATATGAGTTTACAAGGGCAAACATGTTCCCTCCCTCCCTCCCTCCCTCCCTCCCTTCCTCCCTTCCTTCATTTCTGTCTTTCTTTGACTTTATTGGGGTATAACTGACAAATAGAAATTGTGTGGCTTTTTTTAAATTTTTTTTTTCTCTTAGCTGGGCAGAGTGGTGCATGCCTATAATCTCAGTTAGTCAGGAGACTGAAGCAAGAAGATCACAAGTTTGAGGCCAGCCTGGGCAACTTAGCAAGACCTTGTCTCAAAAGATAAAAAAGGGCCATGGGTTTGTAGCAGCTCAATTCACAATAGCTAGGCTATGGAGCCAACTTAGGTGCCCTTCAACAGATGAATGGATAAAGAAAATGTAGTATATATACACAGTGGATTATTATTCAGCCATTAAGAAGAATGGTTTTATGACATTTGCTGGCAAATGGATGGCTCTAAAGACTCTCATACTAAGTGAAATAAGTCAGTCCCCCAAGCTAAAGATTGAATGTTTTTGCTGATATGTGGAAGCTAAACCACAATAAAGGAGGGGGAGAGAAGTTCACTGGATCAGACAAAGGGGAATCAAGGAAAGGGAAGGGGTATAGGAAAAGGAAAGACAGTGGAATGAATCTGACATTATTTTCCTATGTGCATATATGAATACATCAGAGTGAATCCCACCATTATGTTTATTCATAAGAATGAGGTCTTAATTAGAATAAGATATATTCCATGCTTGTATAATTATATCAAAATGGATTCCACTATCATGTATAACTAAAAAGAACCAATAAAAGGGGCCAGGGATATAGCCCTGTGGTAGAGCACCCCTGGGTTCAATTCCTAATATTAAAAACAAACAAAAAAACATGAAACTTAAGAGGTACTGTCCAAGTCAAGAAATCTAACTTGGGTGTCCTGGGCAGCTAGAATAGCATTGGCAGCTTAGTGAAAGGTGACATAGTTAATGTGCCCTGAGAACTGCCTGACTTCCTTATGGCTGGGAGGTTATCACAGGAGGAATCTTGGGAGAGGATACAGGCAGGTGTGATCTTGGAGAGCCCTTTGTGTCATGGGCAAGAGTCTGGCTTCTAGACCTCTTCCCCAGTTGGAGGTCCTG